AACAACAACAACAACAGCAATAAAAGAAAACGTGTAAGTATATTATATGTCATTTGCTACTAAGCTTTGCTACTATGGAGCACATTGTCGAGCACCATGTCGGTGGAGCATTAAGACAAGGAAAAAGCATCTTTTTAACGAATAACGAAGATGAGATTAGGGATCTTATCGTAGAGACTGTGGGGTGTCCTCAGTGGGAGGAAAAAGATGCGCATTTTAGCGATCGGTAAACACACTGTAGATGAAGGTTTACTGTTCTTTGTCTGTTTGCGCGCCATTTTCCTTTTGCGCGCCATTTTTTTAAGGTTTAAGGTTTCGTTTTGATTTATTTTCTTTAGAATCACCTACACTAGCCACAAAAAACGCAAGCCCATTGAGTACCATGGCATGTCAGGCGAGTTTTGCTACAGACTCAAAGTAATCACAAAGACGTCAGGGGAGTTAGTGACAGCCTTCCCCGTGCGCTAAAAAAAGAAGAAGAAGAAGAAAAGAAGAAGAAGAAGAAGAAGAAGAATACTGTAATATTGTAAATACTACTCTTTAACATATTTATTATCTATAATAATGTTCATAACGTGTATAAATTCAATTTGCGCGCGCGCGGGAAAAGAAGAACATGAGTCATAAATGAGCATATAACCTGTAATTTATTTAATTTGATCATGAAATCATGTATGATATACATATAATCTATTTTAATACAATCATATATTCGTTGTTTTTGTTGTTGTTAATTTTTTTTTGGTTTTTCTCTCAAACTTAATGAGTAATGCTCTAACTTTTTTTCGATTTCCCTATTATCTATAAAGTTGTCAAAAGGAAACACATAATTATCACTTATGAAATTTGTGAGGAATCCGTATTCCGATACATCGCTAGCACTAACTTGTGCACTGGCCATAAATTGATCAAAGGGAAAATTGGCATTTTTATCACTAAAATCTGTAAGAGGGGAAATTTGAAATAGGTCACTTACATCGACTTCTGTAATAGTGCTTAAACAATCAATTTCTCCTTCTGAGATGGCTTGTTCCTTCTCGGGTGAGTTCTCTTCCCACCAGCYGAATGAATCATCTACTCGGTCCTCCCAAGGATGATTTTTCACGATAAATGATTCAACCTCATCATCGAAGACTTTTTTATTTGTGGCTATCAATTCATTGAGCTCTCTGATTGCTCTTTCCACGTTTAAGTCAACATTATACATGTTTCCATGTTTCCAATCGCCCATCTCAGTCCAATCTAGTATCAGATTGTGGGATCGGAAAATTATCTTGACTTATCCAAACCTTATTTTTCGACACCTTGAAAATCGCCAAAGCCGATGGCACTGACCTAGGCGACAAAGAGAAAGTGGCATTTGTTAATTTGCCAGGCGATGTTTCGGTGATGGGATCCCTTTGTCATCAAGTCCCTCATGCTATCATTAGTCAAGTATTCGCTCATCAGATCGTCGGATCAGTCAAGTATTCGCTCATCAGATCGATAATTAGCCCAGGGGTTTTATCAAAGAGGGAGTAGATATCTTCGGGGAATCCCTTGACAAAYGTTAAMTTCAATATCTCTTTTTCCATGATAAGAAAGCGCGGTTGAAACTCTCCATAACAATAAAAAATCCGCTCGATTTTCTGATCAAACATCTTGTCTAGATTTCTGAGTAATCTTTCGCAAAAGGTGTTTTTT